CTTCTTCGGAATGGGTGCCACTAGAATTATAGGCGAGGTTGTAGGAGGCGGAACTGCCGGCTTTGGTGGGGGTTGAGGCCATGGCTACTTGGTAGATGTCGCCCCAGAAGGAACCGAAGTTGAGACTATGGGTTGGGAGTTAGTTTGTGTGGGAGTTAGGGATGGAGAATGAAAGGAAGGAGAGACGAACTAATAGGTACTGCCGACCAAGATAAGATTAGGATCAATAGCATTGTAAAGTTTGCCGGGTGAGGATGCTACACCAGTAGCACCATGATCGGTCCATGATCCTACTTCCATGGTGGTGGAGGTTGCAACTCCGATTGCTGAGTTTTGGGTGCCGAAACTCGAAACAGCATAGTACATGTAGTAAGTGGAGCCGATGAGATGAACATCAGGTGCCTATATTGTGATTAGTATGTCACTTTATATTTTTGTCTTTATTCTTCAACTGCACAATAAATAGATAGAGAGAACAACATAAGTTAAAGAAGTGAAAAGGAGGAAGCATACCCAAAGATCGCTATTTCCACTCAAATTAATACTACTTTTACTCAAAGCATCACCAACATAAGTCCAAGGACCAGCTAATGCAGTAGCTTTCCAAATACCAATACCATTTCCGGTATTGAACTTGAACCAAGTTCCATCACTTGAACGTTGGATCAAGGCAGGATCATGAGCGTAGCAATTACCAGAACAAGCACCTGGATTTGCATATGCAGCAACGAGACTAATTAGCCCTAAAATCGGGAGGAGGATCCGAGAAAACATGATGAGAAAGGATGATGATGGTGAGGAGATGAGATGAAACAATCTGTGAGGGAGATCTGGAGCTTATATGTAGTACGGATATACTGAGGAACTTCTCATCCCATGCCTCTCCTCTATTTTTCTTGGCTGCTTATCAGATAGCCTACTCTGCCGGGAAAATGTTACTAGAGGTTCATCTCTATGTACTTAATATGGAACTGATCAATAGCCGTCCCATTCTCAGGGACTCTCGAATCTTAGTTTCCTTGTCATAACAACCCAATAATACAAGAGATAAGATCTCTCTGATTACATACACTCACACAGCCGCCGCATCTATTCATACATTCGAATCAACATTATGTCAAATACGTGCCTGAACTTCCGAACTTCCGAAAATTCTAAGCTTTTGACTGGTGGATCCAACATGCATCTTGAGAATCGATGTGTATCAGGATATCTCCCCCAGTGCTGATCCACCTGGCACGCGGTCCTAGTAACTATCTCCTTGCCCTGTGCCTGATAACTCTAATTAGAAACTGATTCCAAATATCCAGAATGTCAAAAGCGCACCAATGAAGTTTACAAAATAGGACCCGGAGAGACTTCTCTTGGCAGGTTGAAAGCCGACATGTGTAGATGAAAATTCATCTCGGTATCGAGGTATTTGGTGCGTTTCTAACCTCTTCCCGTGAAAGTAGTCACATAGATTTCATCACTCCTGCATCTTGCGGGGTTCACGTGGTATATTCTCCTTTAGCCGACCACTTGAGATTCAACATCACATAATCTAGCGCTTGCTATTATGTTATCTTTCCTATCCCGTCTGATCCGTTCCATTGCTTCGACTCAAGACAATTGGTGGATTCCATCTTCACGGTATCACATTTGTCCCATTATTTCCCCAAATGGAACATGGAGAAAAGAACCCTGTTGCTTGTAGCGAGTTTTCGACTAGGTACGCAGTGGTAAGGTCACTTTGTATATTCCATTGGGCCCTGTAAATGCCGATGAGGTGGAACTTCAAAACCCCGGGAAAGACGCTATGTACCCCACAACAAGGAACTTGTAATTTCTGATGCATGTAGAAATGTCCGAATGAGGGTGGACAAAAACCACAATACGTGAATCTTCTCTTCGAGACTTCGAGATAGGAAGACCAAAAGTGCGGAATTCATCTACTCAATTTCGTAAAGCTCGATACGAGTTGCGAGAATTTCGTTTCGGGTATAGATTCGGATTGATCACTCTGGGAATAGGAGATTTTTTATTGGTCCACTTGCGTTTATTTGTTTGTCTACTCCACTGTCTTCAACAAACATTTCCTCTTTGAGAATCGGACTATGGTGAACTTGGTAAGCTTACAGGAACAACAACGAGGGGAAATGCAAAAATGGGGGTGCGGTCTAATTGGAGCGAAAGCATGCTTCCGTTCCTGCAACGTTCGAGTAAGTGGCGCATGGACTCTTCTTGGCTGTAGGTTGAGTCTTGTTCCGCTTGACTAACGAACGATTGTTCATCTGATCTGGAATACACACTAACTAACATGGCGGCCCGGCCCTGAGTTAAAGTTAGATGTTGATTTTAACCTTTACTTTTACTCTACGTGAAGTTTGGAATAGACTATTAATCTAGAGTAGGATTAGCTCCAAACATTACAGAAGAAAGTTTGGAATTGGAAGCGCGCGAATGAAAAGAGTGATCTGGAATCAAATTCTGGTAGGCCTTCCCAACTTTCATTGAAGTACACTGGGTGATACTGCTCTTCTGTGCTGCGCGATAGAATTCAGATGCCAAGAGTGGAGTTGGATATTTATGTATATTTTCGTAAGTCAAGTAAGTATTTTTACGTTATTCTCTTTTTTTCACCTCAAGATTCTGCGATGTCAGCTGTAATTATAAGCATCAGTAGTCTTCTTTCTTTCTTTACTTTGCTGTCAGTCTTCAGTTTGTCGAACTCTTTCAAATCTTTCTATAGTTCTCAAGTCTCGCCTTTATCTTTAACCCACGCGGCCCCGTATTCGGATCCTATATGTAGTCCAGATAGCCGTAACCCAAGCATCGTATATCCGACGGATATCGGTATCGACTCATATCAGTATGGATGGGTATAAAGATGATCAGAGCCATCTTGTTTAACACAAGGACGCTTTGGTTGTTAAGACTACTTCGATGTTTTATCATGCTTGGAGTCCTGGGATGCTTTCCCTGAATAAAATACTACAATAATCTCTTTGGCTTTTTTAAAAGTATCCCCATGAGATAACATACTTCGATTTCATTTCGGACCTGGACATCTGTGGTGATAAAATAATAAATGGTTTGATCAGCCTACATGATAGGTATATTACAACGCAGGTGAAAGTGCTGATCTAGATGGTCCATTGCTTCCATGTCCTCATGGCTCGTATTTCCTTCACTCCTCTCTCGGAAATCCTAGGTGGTATGTCGATAAGTAGCGAAAGGCTCAGGAGTAAACTTCATCCACAGCGATATTCCTAACCAGCACCTAACACATCAACGATACCATCCTCTTTCATCTGTTTCGAACTCACTATTACTCTTACATACCCCTCCCTACAGAATCTCTGTATCACTCCCCTTACCATCTATCTTATGGTACCTCGTTCCTCAACTTCTGTTCAACATATCTTGTTCAACATCAAATCACAATCTAGTCAGAGCCCTATCAACGAAGCCCCCATCGTTCTAATCCTAGATTTAGATTAGTTTACTCATCATTCAGTTTATATGAGAGGTATAGGACGGGAGATAGGTAAGAGTTCTGGAACCTACTTATCGCACCCCTGTGACAAATGTGACAAAAATCCCCGCAAAAATGAGGTTTTCATCATATAAACTAATAAATTTAATATTTAATTCAAATCTTTGTATTTATTTTGAAAAAAAATTAGAAATAATATTAATTGTAATTCAAATATAAAAAAGTAATTGAAATATTTTTCATTATTTTTATTGATTAATTATTTAGAATTGAAATCGAAAATTTTCAAAAATTCTAACACATAACATTTTCCCATATAAAATAAACAAATTTCATAATAAATTAAAAATTTCAACTTTACCACTCCATCAAAATCTTATTTGAAAAAAAATAATAAAAACCTTCTATTCATTTTCTATAAAATTTGATTAATTCAAGATATTTTTCCAAAGGAATTTGAATTTATTCTCTTATTATAATAAATAAACTAAAATATAAAAATTGAATAATCCCATATTTTAGCTGGAAAACATTAAATATACAATAAAATAAGATTCCGAACTCCTTACATTTTCCTTCTTCTTCTATTTATAATGTTTTGACTATCCATATTTCCGTTCTTTCCTTTCATCGTCTTCTTGTCTCGTCCCAATCTGCAAATATTCTTCGATTGCTCTCTCCCTTCCCTATGATTTCCTCTCCCTTCCCCTTTCTCTTCCTCCAATCCCCACAACCTCACTAACCCACCTTCCTCTCGAATTTCATTCATCACTCTCCCAAACGAGATTCAAATCTTCAATCCCAATCCCAATTCCAGTCTAACCCCATCGCCAGCATCAAGTACATGCCTACACAACACAACTCATCACATCCCAGCTTAACTTCCAAACTCAATGAATCACAAGACTCCCAGTCCCGAGACACTCTAGGCTCTAGAAGCTACGTTTGCTGTAGCTGGTATTGGGTACTTTGAAGAAATACAAAGAACGGAGGAGAAGAGGGATGAAAACAAGGGATGGAAAGTATGAGTTGACTGAGTGAGTCGGATGAAATGATAAAAACAGAAGGGTGATGAGTCGTATAACGATGATGTAGAACCCGATTGCTGAGACAATTTTTACCAAGCTACCAAACTTCATAAAAGGGGGTATCGACGGGACGGTTTCTTTAGGTCAGAGATGATGTTCAAAAAGAAGAGGAGAGCATGATCAGATAAGCGTGTGTAACGTCGAATCTAATTTTGATGTACAAAATATATCTGTATAATGTAACATGCAATAATTTTCGTAGCAGGTACCCCTTCATTTTCCTGATATTATCAATCTGTAACCGAGACGCCCAAGACGCAATGAGCTTCCAGTCCATATTCATATCTCGTTATGATGCCCAATTTCATCTATCCTCCCTGTCTTTTCTGGCTGGTTTCAACTTCATCTCAGCCTTACTGTTGACCATGACTCCACTTGATGAATATCAAAGTTGTTCCCTCGCAAATTTCAGTCCATATGAATCAATGAACCCCTCACCTCCCCTTAAAAATGGGCTTCCTCTTCTCTCTAAAAGCAGCCAACGCCTCATCTCTATCTTCCGTCCCTACAACCCTTCCATACATATCATTTTCAACATCTTCCCTCGCCCAGCCAACAGCTTTCAATGCACTCCTTACTGCCACGGGACCTCCCTCACAAATCGTCCCAGCCAAGTGAACCGCCTCTCTCAAAACGGCTTCTTTAGCCCGTTTCATCATATCTCCCTTCTCTTGTCCATCTCCCTCCCCCTCCCCTTCATTCTCCTTAACCTCAACCAAGCGATCCGCAATTCCTAGAAAATACGCTTCCGGACCACTCACTCTCCTCCCTGTCAATATCAAATCCCGCGCTCTTCCGATCCCTATCAAAGCTGGAAGTCGGTGTGTTCCGCCCGCGCCGGGTATTATACCAAGTCTCGTTTCTGGCAAACCAACGACGGCCGTAGAAGCAAGACCACGCATGTGTGTACAAAGAGCCAATTCGAGACCACCACCAAGAGCAACCGAGGAAATTGCGGAGATGGTTGGAATCGGAAGTGCAGAAAGTTTTGTAAATGTGGAGCGGAGATTATGGAGGAATGTTTGAGTCCTAATTGATGTTTATTTATGATTAGTCTGTATTTTGTATTGCAATTCAACCACCAGATAAATGAACAAGAACATACATCTCCGGGGTGAAAGTAGCCCTCTCTTTCAGATCTGCTCCCGCACAAAATACCCCGTCAACCTCACTGGTAATGATCAAAGCTCTCGTTGGTCCATCTTCTCCCTGCGGCCTAACCTTCCTTATCTCATTTCCCTCTGCGTCATATTCCGCCGCAATGTTATCTACATGCGCGCGCAATTCTTGTAGTAATTGAATGCTAATAGCATTACGAGCTTCGGGGCGACATAATGATAGAACACGGATGGTACCGTTAGAATGCGGGGTCGGGATTTGGAAGGAGGAAATGAATTGTGGTCGACCTGATTTGGCAGTGGAGTAAAATCGTGGAGTGACGAGTTTAGGGAGCGTAGATTTGAGGGAGAATTGGAGGAGTGGTCGCATTTTTAAGATTGTGGATTGACGAGATTGAAGTGAGGATATTGATATTGATATCAATATAATAATGCGGAGAGAACCTCGGGAAGCTTTGTATGTATGCGGATATCAGCGGGTACTAGCGGACGGACTATATGGAGTGATTATTGTAAGATCTTACAAGGAAGACACAACTAAATATAACGATGTCATCACTCACTCTTGAATCGAATCGCTAATCAAATCCACAAGACCAATCCAGAACCAAGATTAATAATCTTCAGCCCCGAATCTTACTGTATCAAAATTATAGATACATATATCTTACATATAAACTCGACATCCAATACCTAATACTTGAATTATCATTGACCTTCCCTCCTCGAAGTAATCATTCTCAACTGTCGTCCAAAGATGTCCGATCCAAACCCTTCAAACGGCGCAACGGTCGCCTCACTCCCACCCGCAGCCATAGCTTTAGCAACCAGGATGTACGACGCAGCTCGAAATGGGGATGTCGAGATTTTCGAACAAGCTTTACCTCGAGGACTACCGGCTAATATGACAAATGAGAAAGGTGATAGTCTCGTAAGTTTTAGTTTTTGATTAAGAATCGTTGATTATGTTGTCAGCTACGACGCCCAGCAAGTCTTGGTAACTCCATATCACGTGACATTTATTCTCTCACATGATTTGGGTTTCGATGCTACAACTTTTGAATCAATGGACGCTCTCTGACCTGGAAAATAGATAATGTTAGCAGCCTACCACGGTCATGCACCACTCGTTCGACTTCTTCTTCAGCATGGTGCGAATTCCAACTCATTGAATGATCGAGGACAATCTCCTTTAGCAGGTGCTGTCTTCAAGGGAGAATCTGAAGTTATCGAGGTATGCAAATCTCTTTTACGTTCCTGTCAAACTTTCTCGAATCTCTGGATTGGTGTTCTTCTAGATTCTAATAAATTAACAGGCATTACTCGAAGGCAATGCAGATCCAGAACATGGTTCTCCAAGCGCAATGAGAGCCGTAGAATTATTCAAGCAAGAAGAGAAATGGCTAAAGAAGTTTGAGGAGGCGCCTGGCAGAGGAAAGGCTTTGTAGAGAATAGGAATAGGGTACGGTGTTTTCGTTCAGACGATAATCGGGTCTCGAGAGGTGTTAGGTCTTCTAGGTTATGTACACTATTTGACATTGAATCTGCAGTACGTTTCCGTATTGTCATAATAATCAATTGCTGCAAATCACTTGCGACCCTTTTTGGTTCTTATTTATAAGAAAACGAGACAAGGCCCCTTCTATGAACAATCAGACAAAGCAAAACGAACACCATATAAGACCCAAAACATCATCGACGCACGATCACCGTTTACAATTTTCCCATCTTTCTCCTAGCCACCTCTTCCCCCCCCATATCTCTCCTTCTCCACCCCTTTCATCCCCACACTAATTAGGCACAACATCCAACCCATACCCTTCCACCGGCAACGCCGTACTACACTGTCCCCAAACCTGCACACTAACCGGACTAACCGTCAACGGCCCACACGTATTCTGCGTCTGAGTAAAACTTCCCGAGTACCCCGTGATCGCACAATATCCCGTTCCATCCGCGACGATCTTTGCAATCTTGAGGGGATTATCAATGACGTAGTTATTTCCATCCACAGGGAAAGTTTGTTGGACTAGATAGGGGGGTTAGTGGTGAGACGAGGGGATTTTAGGAAAGAGAGAAGAATAGAGAATACATACAAGAATCACCATTCCTGGCATAGAAAGTAAGAACCACATCTCCCGCGCTAGGATAATCATTTCGTGCGATGTGAGGAACAGTAGTATTAAAATCACTTCGTTCAACGTGCGAAGTAGTAGTATTCAAACTTCTCCTTGACAGAAAAGCATCACCTTCAGTAAAATGATCAATCGGTGCCGCAAAGACACACGAGACCATCAATGCCACGAAAGTGACAAGAGTTAAGGTATTCATCTTCTACCCTCGAATCCTTAAGTACGCAAAAATATGAAAAAATTATTGAGAAAAAAAATCGATAGTTTCTGTGTTTTATAACTTGAGAATGTGGTCAAGTTTAGATATCTCTTCAATACCAGATACCAATTCAAGTTATATATCCCGTCTACATCGCCCAAGACTTTCATAACCCGTATTGAGCCGGTCCCTTTTTGAATACACATCATGAATCAATAAAAGAAAAATTTGCACTCAAAAAGTTGAAAAGGTCGCTTATGGTCATCAAGAGGCCATATTGCTGAAAGTAGAATGTTAAATCGTTAAATAGCAAATGTGATGTAAGCGGCAAAGAGGAGGACTTTTGACAGACCCCGCGACGGGTTACTTTGTGGGTCGCTGAAATTTTCATCAATGTTGGAATTTCAGGTGAACGACTGAATAAGAAACAACAAGTAGTGCAAAGCGAGAATAGGTAGTGAAGAACAAACTTATATCTTGTCTTCATATCTGATATATCTAAAACCATAGAATAGTATTTGTGCACCCCTATCTATAAGAAACACCTGCAATGCTGCCAAACTTTTGACTTCTATCTTTTAACACCATTTCAAGCCAGTCCCATTCATCATAACACATTAATTCATCTGATTATTCTCACTGCGAAATCAAACCATCTACTCCATCTCACCAACCCAAACCCTTGCTCTCAACCTCTGCACCACCTCCTTTCTAATCCACCTCATCTCTCTTCCCTCCTCCATAGCTTTATCGGCCCACTCAAACAACAACCTTAATCCTAATAATCTGTCCTTATTCCCGCTATCTAGCGTCGCATGTTCAAGAATCAATCTAGAATCCACAGATGTTTGTTCTGTGCCTGCATGAATATCCCTTGGTCCACCATGATCGGGCGGCAATACCAACGCCCTCTCTGCTTTAGTAAGTGTTGAGAAAGCAGGGAGTTCAAAAAGCCATTGAAGGGATTGATTGGCTGTTTGATCAGCTTCGTCTAAGGCTTGAAGAGTAGCTTTGAATGCGTTGGTGCTAGCATCGTGAGCTGGGCGTTTCCGAACGTATAGAATTTGAGTTGATTTGAATGCTTCCACGTGGGCTTTATTGCTCTCAAGATCCAGAACAACATTCCAGTATTCAGGACTGCACGTTCGAACCGTTTTGATTTGATTAATTTCCGGGATAAGGCAAGGTGTGTGGCGTTCCTCTTCTTTCCCATCACGAAGTGTAATTTGAAGAGGTATTGGAACAGGTTGATCAGTGTCAATATCTCTTGTAATGAGGCACCTAGGTTCCGCGGCTAGGACCCAGAAGTGACGGAAAGCTTGTAAGTGAGATTTGTTATCCTGAACAGTTGATGGAAATATCGGATAAAATGCTACAAGCAATGCGGCAATTGCTTTATCTGAAGTTCCGAAAGTGAAAGTACCACCACCCAAGAATAATGCACCAATGGCCAGATGAGCTGCAAGATGACTACCATATGGAGTTTCACTATCATCACGACCGTGCATTGAACGAAGTCTACGAAAAACAGCAATATCTCCGGTGCCCGCCATGACAGTAGCTACGCCAAGGGCCACCAAGTCTTGACAATTGCGAACGGTGTTTCTTGCTAACTTCTTATCAAATGAGTCTGCTTCGATTTGACATATTCGTCTAAATTCATCTAAATAGTGCAGCAGTATATCTCTTGCGGTCAAATTCGCTGAACCGGCAAATCTCAAAGCAATGCTGAAACAGAGCCCAGTCAGTATATCGTAGAATGGAAGGTCTACTGATGTCAAGGTTCTGATCCATTGCAACGAACTTCGACTCTTGTAAGGAGCAGGCAAGCTCTTTTTGATCCATTTGTGTGAAGGCTCAATCTTACTCCACATTATTAAGTGCCGTGCAAGTGTTCGAAGCAGGAAAGCGTCTGGTCGAACGTAATCAAATTGGAGAACAGAATCCGGTACGTCTACCTTGCGAGCCAACACCTGATTCTCCGACTTCATATAAATAAGAGCAACGGAAATTATTGCCGCAGCCGTGGACTTGTCCAAGATATGTACAAGGTCAACTTTTTTGCTTCCGGCAGCCAATGAAATGAGTCTTTCTGTGAGTCGCATATCGTGAAGTCCTTTCAGATCAGAGCCCTTGCCAAGATTGATAAATCCAAGGGCAAACCCTGCCGCAAGTCGATAGCCTTCGTTTCTCAAAGGCTCCTCATCAACTTCTTGATCAATATGCTCCATCTCAGATACCATGATCTCGCTCATCCGACGATGTTGGGTGTTACAATATAACAAACCAATACCCATAATACCAGTAGTCTGTGTAAGTGGAGAAAGGTTCAACTCGGCTGCTCCAGGTGGGAGCATTCTTGTCACATGGACTGATAGTAGCCGTGTAATCAATGAATCCATAGTACCAATATAGGATGCCGCCAATCCTAAAAGTAGTCCAATCGATGTCATTGTATGCTTTGGTGTCAGGTATCTAAAAGCAACCCACTTCGCTACCGATTTAAGATGGCCATTGAGACCAAGTGCTAGTAAAAACCCGGCATGACGATTACTCAGATCTTGTTGTGGCTTGTTGTAAAGAATCCATGAAGTATCAATACCTTTTGCATCTCGAGAAATGCTAAGACCGGCAGATACGCCTGCGTGGAAGAATGCCCAACAGACCTTTTCTTCCGTGAATGCGTTTTTATCAACACCTATGGTATTGTTATTTGGCTTCATGACACAGCTTAGATTGAAACCCCCAATAGCAAATCTTTGGGTTAAAAGAGGGATGCGAGCACTGTAATATAGTAATCCTTTGCCAGATGGTATGGCCAAAGTGCGATAAGCCAACATTTGAGCGTGATCTTTTTGAGCTTCTAATAATTCTGATTCTGTCCAGTCAGGTGAGGATTTGACACGAGCAATTGTAGATCGGAAAGTGTTTAGAATATTAGATGCTTCATTAACTCTTCTGTCATCTTTGAAGATGGCCCGAGTAATAGCTTGACGATCTACTTCGGCGGATCCATCGAACGCTCCAGTTGTTTCAATTTCCGTTGTAGATGCGCAGATAGCATGAACGTCCAGACTTGATTCATGTGATGGTGGCTATAGATGTTAGCTTTTGTTGATGTAATAGAACTCTTGACTCACCAATAGAGAGGGCTGGAAGTTTCGAGCCGAACGGCCGGGCGTTAACAGCATAGTAACATCTTCACGACCAACCAGTGCAAGCAGTTCTCGACTCCATGTTGTTGGAGGTTCACTTTGACATTCGACGATTGCTTCTTGAAGAGGTGCAAGTATAGCCTCTGGTAAAGTCTCAAGAAAAAGGCTATCTACTCCAGAAGCAGACAGTGCTTCTACGAGTTGTACAGGAGACCATCCATCCTGCATGCATGAAAAAAATTGAGCAAGTTGCAGAGTTCTTGGTGTTGAGCTACGCCATCGCTCAAGATCTTTGACGCCTCTGGTAGGAATGGCAGATCTAAGTGTCACTATATCTTGAAGTGTTAAGAAGGGCATCAACCTTCGACCGAGAAAACAATCCTGAATCCATGTGTAAATTGATGGGCAATCAAACGGCTCAGCAATTTTGTTTGCGAGAACGAGATCTACAAAAATGGTGAGCGGTTTCCAACTTGCACACAGAGTATAGAAGCTTACCGATGTCATAAGGTGCATCTACTAAAGAGGCTTCTTCAGTCTCATAAAAATCTATCCAGCTTTCCCACCTGAGCCATCGGACAATTTGAGTTAGTACCGGTGTTAGAGTAGATACGCCAGTACTAAAGGAATCGGCTGTCGTTGTGTTAAGCTTTCTCTCCTCGCGCAATAAATGTAAGGCGGTGAGAATATCAATCAGAGCAGCTTGACGAAGCTCAAGGGATTTATTAGTAGCTGTCGGTAGATAGCCTGTAACCGCTTCCTGGCCCAATTTTGAGTAGAAAAACGTTTGTGCAAAAGTCACATGCCTTTTAGTAAAGGTTTCCTTGTCCTTGGTTGTCGATAGAAGGCTTTCCGTTTCAGAGGAAGGAAAAACTCCGGAGTCCTCTTGTTCATTCAGGAGCCATTTCCATCCACCACTGTTAAGCCAAGGCGGCATAGGGTTTCCATAAGGAGCCAATCGACTGAGCATAGTCTCATAGCAACTCATATCCACTTGCCCGCCACTGCTAGATCGTAATAATGCTGCACGTGATTTTCTTGTGGCATGAGCCTTCTTCTGAGGCTGTTTGGCTGCGCTAAAGCTGATAATCATTGAGAATAGAACAATGAGTAGAGACGTCCATTCTGCATCTGCAGTTTCAACAGATTCGAGCTCAAGCCACCTCATAGCATTCCACCATGTAACAAGCATTCCTTCGCCTCCACTTGCACCTGGTAAAACTTTAGTGCATACCTCAAGAATTTTAGCCACGTAAGGACTGCGTGGCTGCATGAGTATTTGCAGCTGATGCATTTTGCCTTCGTCATCTACCAAATCGACTAGCCCTCGAGGCTTTGGATTACGCAGACCCTTTAAAGCACGAGGACCTTGACTAAGCACTCTCTTGAAGCTTCCTTCCCTCTTTTCACGTGGATGTTGGTCGTGACTCAAGTTTCGAATGTTGTGTATGACGAAATTTGCAGGCAGAGTCACCTTCATGAGAATGCTCCATGGGGCTTGTAAACTTAATTCTCCAAAACCATCCTCTGTTTCAGTCAAAACTAGAATCCGAGATATATCGCCGTCGTCGAATTTGCAAGCATCGATCACGCCTGGAGCTCTCATAACTTCCTTTAAGTTGACTAAAGTTATTTCCTTATCTGAATTTGGAGAAACCTCATTGTCATTGTAGTTGGCTCTTCTATGAACTTTGGTGTTAAGAGTCATTACAAGAAGCTTTTTCTCGTCTGAATCCAAGATACATATGACTATTGAATTTCCCTGCTGATCATCTGCCGCAGACGGTGGTGCAGGTAGTATAAAGATCTTACATTGACTCTTTGCGGGTATATGTTGACTCGAAAAGCGAAGATTACTATGTTCGGCGGAGACACTACAGACTTTGGTAAGGATGATCTCCTGTCTAAGAGCGTCAAATTCGTCATCATCAAGGCCCATATCGTTGAAGCCGCCAAAATCACCCCCAGCACGAAGTTGATCGAGAAGTTCGTCAACAGGTGCTTCAAGGAAACTATTGACGCTCTGGCTCAATTGACTGGGCTGAGAGAAAGCTTGCCCATTTAGTCCAATACTCGTTCTGGTATGCTGGCTTCCCAAAGAATCGCGAAGTCGACCTGCATTGTGCTGATGACCAGTTGCCAGTTCAGAGAAAGCATTCCGCTCGTGTGAAGCGGATAGATCTGCTCTTGCTAGCATTGAGCTTACACGTCGGGAGCTTCTCCTGGGCATAATGCCACCTTCATAATCGGGATCAAGAGTAGAGGCAAAATCGATTTTTTTGTCTTTTTTCGCATCTTCAGACCATGCAGGAGTTTTCTTGAATCCAGGGGTGACTCCACCAAAGCTTTCTCGCATCGTCTGCTGACTATTTCCTATGGGTGTTGTAGCACCTGTTCCGCCCGGCATGAATGAGCTTCGTCGGCGCGACGCTGCACCACTCGGGACTCGAGATTTGCCGTTCGGTATGGTTTCTTGTCCACATAAGTCAGCTTCCACACAGTATACATACTAGTCTCGCGATTCAGGGTGATAGCTAGTACAAGAGGATTTTCTGAGTCCTTGGCAGAAAATTCGTTCGGTCGAGATACATGAAGAATCTCTTCCGAAGGGTCCAATGTTGATATCTTGCCAGAAACTCCTACGCTTTACTCGGCCATCAGACAAGCCTGGCTGAGCAACGACTAAACCCATTTCTGACAATGGATCGGATAAGGAAAATAATCGTGGCCAATTTGCATCACTTTGAATAGAAGGAGGTTCCCACAAATCTCCCAGAGTAGACATTTGAGTTGGCATCTGCATAGGAGCACCCAAGTCCGCAGTGGAAAAAGTGGACTGGATTGAACTTGTCGCAGACCATGGTTGAGGCTGAGACGAGACAAAAGAGTTGGGTGGTACTCGTGGAAACTTTATAGATGCTGCAACATTAGTTTCTGAACGTAGCTTTCGCTGTATAATGAGACCGATAGGTGCTGCAGTGGCAGACTCGACCTCAAATGGCAAATGTATAACATGACTAGTTCCAGAGAGAAAGTAAACATGCGCCTGCGTCTTCAAGAACACTACAATTGCCTTCTCCTTTGTATTCGAGCCCTTCTGATGTGTCTTTAGTGTTCCTTTCTTGGATGGTAGTGGTCCCACGCTGGGAAATGAGGTCAACAATGCCTGTGTAATGGGTTCTTTCTCGAGATCAAAATTGTAGCTTTTTCGAAAAACCCCTCCCCGAGACCAAATTACACATCTTGGTGTAACTAATAGTTCGTCGTCGACTTCTGAGCCTGTATCATCGTCGCAAACATTATACCAGTCGTAAGAACTACTAGATGCATCTGCAGTCAGGTATCCTTCTTTAATAGCATATTGAAGTCCTGTAGGTGATGTAGACCTAGAGAATTGACCAAGGCCATATTTTGGAAATATTGTGAAAAATCATGAACGCATACAATCTGCCATTATTTTCCCAAGTTTGTTCGTCGCACACTACCTTTATATATCTCGGATTTTTACGATGATTGGCTCTCCTTCATTCTTTGAGTACTTTCTAGGAAACGCGTCGTGAATGTAGAAGGCGCGAACAAGAACAAGGCTGCATCGAAGGTTATGATCAGCCAGTGCACGGACCATACGAGGCTACAGCATCAACTCCCCGCAATCAACCTAGAGGTTGGTTCCCTACAGTATGAGTGAGAATGCCTAGTTCAAGACAACAGTTTACATCGTCGCTCATCACTGGGTCTAAATCTATCATGGCGACATGAGACTCAACAACGTTCTACCACTTCCGATACTATTACTTGTTCAACTGGCTTTTGATTGATTAGTTGCTTGACTTGCTGTGAGTGAGATAGTCGGTCTTGTCTTACAGATGGAATCGTAGCCCTCATGAATATTACTGTATTAGGAGGTACTCATGACAGCTTAATCACAATATCTGATGTCGAAAACAATATCAAGAAGCTGCTTTGCCCTGAGTTTTGTTGTCTACATCGTCCGATTAATGGTCAAGCACGCACAAGGGGAAAGTTCCTGTATTTACTATGTTGCATCATCTATAAGCTAGGTTATTGCTTACAACACATCTTTTATATTGGTATAGAATTTATTAGAATTTCTCAAACCAGTAAATTTTTATGTTTTGGGATTGGGATTGGATTATCTTGTACTCTTGGTCTTTGCTCTCATTCACGATTTAAATTTGAGTCTTTGACTCATTCGTTGTTATAAGCAGTCGATGAGAAAACATTTCATTTGTTTTCCGTTTCAAATATAATGATCCTCCGAAGAAGTAGAAATGCTATATTTACGTACTGATGAATCGGTTATATTTCCCCAATACCGAAGTTCGTTAATGGATTGTTGCGAAGATAACGTTCTGATTTCCAGCCCTCACTGTATACTCATAAGTCACCCTCCATTTACTGGGTTATGACGCATTTTTCTTGCTTCCCCAATTTCCAGATATCTAAGCTTAATGACTTCTAATCAACTTCGCCAATTTCTCAAACAACTCCCGTCTCTTGATAGCAATATCCGAGATTCTACCAGCAGAAGCCAAATCTCCGATAAAAATGGTGTCTTCGCCGCTGCATAGACCGGTGTATGCTTTGGCTGTAAATTCGCCGGCGGGCATACCTAGTTTACGACCGTGGGGTCCCATATAATCGTGGAGCTCGGCTGGCGTGAGTGTTAGTTTGGATGGGATGGGCAACAAGGAAGCAACGGGCGGGAATAAGATGAGAGGATCGAAGTGGGTGATGGGACAATGGAGACAAGATGGCGGAGATAGAATAGGAAGGTGAGCATTAAACTTACTTTGAACCATAGGAGGGGATAACTCGATGACCTTTACTGACGTGTCCCGAAGGTCATCCCTTAAGCAAAGAATGAATGAGCTGAGAGCTGCTTGGAAGCAGAATAACCTGTTAAAGTTGCGGCTGGCACCATGCTCAGGTTTGTGGTTGTGCTTTTAATCTCGTTAGCTGATGTTCGTTTCCCAAATTGGAAGTGACATAGAAGTCGTGACGAGGTAACTAACTAGATGAAGCTGGTCTCCTGCTTCTTCTCTAAAAGATACGGAAGAAAAGCATGAGTTAATACCACGAAGCTGGTAAAATTCACGTGCATCTCATAGTTGAAGCCCTTGATATCGACACTTTCAGGCTTAGAAAAATCATGTTTTCGTTGATATCCTGCGTCGAGGAAGACGCAATCGATATCAGGAGAGCTCTCAATCACGTCAGCTGCAAATTGAGAGGCTTTCTCAGTATCACCGATATCGAAGAGATGGATTTCGCTTTATCGCCATGCTTGGCTACAAACTCATCGAGTCGATCCTTGCGACGACCGACGATGGTGACTCTACATTCTTGAACGAGACGTTCAGCCATTGCAAGACCGATTCCAGATGTAGCTCCGATGAGAAGAACGTTCTTATAAGGGAATGTCATTTCGAGAGGTTGATAGCTTTGATAATACGGAATTGATAAGTGGAATGTTTTAATTTGAGATATTGAGAAGTGACACTGGCTTTCATAAAACTTTATAGTATTTACACCAAGGAGTTAACAATCTTAAGTCCCACAAATGTCATGGATCGGACTTTGAGATGGGTCAGATATGAGCGCCATCAGAGCTCTCCTTGAATCCAAAGGCATGATGTCTGTACCGCTCTCCGTCTCTAGCTAAGATAATGGATTGAAGGCGAAGTTCACAGCCAATACTTTTAATGATTTTCATTGGTCAAAGGTTTAGCGTCGAAATGTATCCCAGAATAGGTAAGGCTTGGAATGTTTGTGGATCAGTCTCACGAGTGGAAGTAGTAACTCTTCTTCCAAATTTTCTCCATCCGTTGGCTTGTTGAAGTCGAAGAAAATCGAACAGTCTTCTTACAAAGAGAGAGAAATCACCAAGTTCAATTCAAAGTCTAACCAACCAGCTAACCAGTCAACTTGTCTAAGTTTGGGTAATTCTACGAATTATTCGCTTAAATTGATAGAATTACACCTGCCAAATTATCCATCGCGGTAATATCAATTTCCGAGTTTCGTTTGGTTCTCGGTGTGGAATTATCATTATGTCCTTTCGTGGAAAACCATCTAAAGCTTGTGAAAGATGTAGAGCTCGGAGACTCAAGGTATTCCAAACGCGATCTTCTAATTACATCACGATTGACATTAGTTGCAGTGTGACCTTGCGCCCGTGACTTGTGGCTCATGCATGAGAGCCCGGGTGATTTGCACTGGATATCGGGATACCGAAAAGCTGCGCATCAGAGATGAAACCGACAGCTTACATCGGAAAGCGACGGCTGTGCGCCATCGCATCAATGACACCAATGGTGGTGGAGATTCGCTGCTGATGAAGTTAGGAGCTTCGAATACCGAACCACGTTATCTTCCGTTGGCACTCGACGTTCAGGCGAAAGAGTTGTTCTTCGACCATTATATTCTTGCAGGTCAAATCAACGGATCAGGGGCTTGGGATTTCTTGAAGCCATATCATCAATCAGAGAAAGCACCTGTATATTTACAGTTAACAATAGATGCCGCCAGTTTAGCATATCTTTCACACCAGTTCGGCTCGCAAAAAGCGCGTTTTAATTGCTTTGGAAAGGTATACAGGCGCTCTTGGCGTCATGAGTAAAGTTCTAAAATCACCTGGAAACATCAAAGGAAATGACGACACTATTCACAACTCTACTTTTGGATTTGTTCGAAAAGCTCTCAACTACTCAACCTTTTGGAAATCGAGGGTGTAGTAGCCACCTACGAGGAGCTCTCGCTATATCCGAAAGTGTGGAGACCAATTTACTACATCAAGTACTGCAATGCGTGCTTTCACACGGTTTGAGCACAAATTTGCTCATTACCTCTCTCGCAGCGGGTACTGCTCTTCCAACTGGTTTCTTTCGCCTTCGAGAATACTTGGAGAAAAGTCCTTCCATTGATGTTCCTAGGAATCCCAAATGGCAATTGTCGAAAATAATGGCGCAATATGTCAATTTGCAAAACAATATTCAAAATGGAAAACGCGCTAGGGAAAGCTCTCTTCAAGAAGCAAGAGAATTAGATTCTATCCTCAAAGATTTCTCTGACCGCGATGTAAGAATCAAACAAATATTCAGGACTCTACCCTCTAGGATGGTCTATGGAAACGTCTACTATTCATACCCCGATAGACATTCAAACCCAGACGTGGAATGTTGTGAGACTGGCTCACGTTTTAGTGGTGAACTTTCTCGTATCGAACGCTACCACTGAGATGGAGCGTTCGCAGTATCTTATCAAAGTGAATGAGATTGCGTCTAACATTTGTTGCTTCTGTTCCCACAATATCTCGACTGTGTGGGTGCTGTGAAGTCGCTAGGACAAATAGAATTACTGCACCCAGTTGTTACATCGCATAATTCTTGCACGTCCCATACACCTTCGCACAGATTGGCCTGCTATACACTTATATTCCCACTTTACATAGCTGGATTTGTCAGAGATTCTGACTCCAGTATATGGAAATGGGCTACCGAAAAATTGCATTATATCGGCAATCATTTTGGTATTCGAAATGCCGAACTTGTTGCTCAAATTCTCGAGAAAGAAGCGAGAACGATCCTTGGAAAGTGTATACCTTGCTTGGTAGCTATGCATTCGGTGCTTGAAAGAAAGTTGAAATGACTTGTCTTCTGGATTCCTTGATCAAAGCCCTTCTTTTATTAAAAGCGGTAGCTCGGCACTCAATTGGCTCTTTGAAGCGATTCTTACCCCATTCATAATGGTCATCCTACCCCAGACGGAAATATTTCTTCAATAAGACATAAACCCGATGCATTTATCCGCTGAAGATTTTATCCTTGCGATTAATCCCCAGCTTTCACGTTACTGCAATCCTGCCTTCAATCGTAGCCATACGTATCTCGCAGAGCGAGGGTTGCGGATTCCAAGCATATCACCATTCCTGAGAGCCACGCTCTGGATCCATGTCTGAGAAACATGAGATAAAAAAAAATTTCTTTCCCTTTTATGAGATGCAGAAACCGAAAACCAGAATCAATTTGTTCACCTCTTGATACGTTCATTTGATCATCTACTGTATTCTCACTCCACTTGATCAATAAACTTGGAATATTCGAACACCTCGGCATTTTTCACAGATTCGATGAGAAGTCTAATGAAATCTCTACCACCATCAAGAAGTTCTAAAGAACGGTTAAATATGGCAAAATTACATTGACAGACATTTTAGTCCAAGTTCCACGCTATTGCTATGGTTACATTTCATTTAAAGTAGTCAATGCCGCCACTTAACATTATACCTCGGAGTTCAACTTGATGGAAGAGTTGCGATTGGTGACTTTCCCAAGGTTACCTCGATAATCTCGACTTGGAGAATGTTCCGAGGGGTTGCAAATATCTGCAAATGTTGCGAATGTAATGTCAAAGACCGCGAATGGTGCTAAATAACGTGCCGTAAATGCCACTGTCGACATGTTAAAAGAAGTATAAAGTCACAATGTTTGATTCCAAAATGATGAGATAATCGACAGCTTCAACTTCTCGACTCATTCTTTTAAGACGATCCAAAGATTTGAAGCAAAGCTTTTCACCATGATTACGACTGGCTCTATTCTGGCTCTAGTCGGCTTCGTTGGGGCTCTCAATCCAATCGCAATTGTTCCTCAAGGCGTCGTCAATGGCATTCTTTCCCCCATTCCAGGAGTCACTTTGCCTGTTGCCAAGTTTCTCGGTATACCTTTTGCAAGACCACCTCAACGCTTTAGCCCACCTGTTGGACCAGGCTCATTCGCAGACAATTCATACAACGCAACACAGCTTCAGCCAGCATGTATCCAGCAATTCAACTGTACGTGAAACCATCTTATCTTCAAACGGGAACTTTCCTGACCACCTGCAGATCCAGATGCTACTCGCGCCTTCACCCTAACTCTCTTCAATAACCCACCACCTGCGTCAGAAAGTGAAGATTGCCTATATCTCAATGTATATGCTCCATCTGCAGCTACTCCCGCTTCATTACTTCCGGTGATGGTATGGATTTATGGTGGTGCTTTGCAGTTTGGCTCAGCGTCATCTCCATACTATGATGGTAGTAACATAGCTGGAAAGCAAAATGTGATTGTTGTAACTTTCAACTACCGAACTAATGGTAAATCTGCTTTTGTGTTCTTCAAAATTGACATCATGATCTAGCAATGGCTAATCAGAAACAGTTTTTTGGCTTTCCGAACTCTCCGGAATTGCCCAACATAGGACAGAACCTAGGAATTCTTGATCAACGACTTGCACTAGCTTGGATCAGAGCTAATATCTTAGCATTTGGTGGTGATCCTCTAAAATAAACGATATTCGTGAATCCGCCGGTGCAACTCCTCTGTGGATGCTCTAGTCACCAGTTATCCAATTTTTCCACCATTTCGCGCAGCAATCATGCAATCTGGGCAAGACAGTGTTCGGACCCTAACGGCTACACCTGGACTTGGCACTGTTTCTGGTACCTCATCTTGGAATGCCCTCGCTGCTGGTCTTGGTTGTTCCAAAACCGGTAGCGTGCTTGCTTGCCTACGAGCTGCCGATGCACTCGCCATTAAATCTTACATTGAGCACGCGGGACTATCGTTCCAGCCAATTGTAGATAACTTAACTCGTGTTTCAAACCCCCAACTCCGGAGAGCGAATCGCCAAATTGCAAATGTACCGGTACGTATCGGCTCAAATGCTCAGGAGGGTTCTGCTTTCGTTTATGGACAAAGCAATATTACAGCAGCTTTGCAAACACTAGTTCCGGGCAACGCCACACTACAGGCTGAAGTTTTTGCTACGTATCCTGTCGGCCAAGATGGATTGAACACATCAGCCGCTGTCGTCGAACAAATTTATACCGATATAATATTCCAATGTGTACGTTTAGCCCAATTCCCTCTTTCCTTTCCAAAAACCTAATTAAACCCCACCCCACAGCCTGGTGCTACTGTCGCAAATTCAAGCTCCGCCGCCGGTTACCCTACCTTCCGTTATTACTACAATGCAACCTTTGCAAACATCCAACCAGTCCCAGGTCTCGGCGCTTATCACTCCTCAGAAATTCCTCTCGTCTTCGGTAACTTACCCGCAAACTCTACCGCAGCCGAAAAAAGCCTAAGTGTCTTGATCCAAAAGTCATGGGCCGATTTCGCCAAAAATCCTCAAGCGGGTCCAGGATGGACTAAATTGAATGTCAATGCAGGTGTTAATCAGGTTGCTGTGTTCAATGTTAATGGGTTGGGAAGCGTGAATGGAGGAGCACTGGACAAGCGGTGTGCTGTTTTCAAATATGATTTGGGAGGGTTCTAGGGAGATAGATACATTACATAATTCTATCAATATTCTGGACCTGGGATTTATTGCTATCATGTATTGTCGTGTGTTCTCACGATGTGCACTACACTATACCAGTGGCTTGGTTCGCAACTAGCTCCGAGAAGATTGCGTACACCTTGCACATACATGCATATATATATACAGCACAGGTGAGACAGAAAGTATTGATACACCGTAAGCCAAAGTATCCTAAATAGGAGATTATTAACCTTTAGTTTCTTCTCCAGTAGTGGGGTTGTGGTGGGCATAAGAGCTTATCTAGTGGTCCAGTAATATTGGGTATGAATTTGACATACAGAACAACATCAATTGTTTGCGTCTAGACTTGGGGTGAGATTGGTGACACATCAGATTGCTGACTCAAAATTACATACGTTGTGTTGAATTACATACCTAGGTACATCCATACAAATGCAGCTTCCATTGCGCACAACCTCGTTAAAATGTCTCTCGCGTGTACACTTGTTTCGCAGGTACGTAAACAGCCGTTAGAAGAACACGAGAGGAAGTCGAACGACTGGGGAAATCCGGACCCTGAATTAGGTACATTTCGTATCGCATTATGATGTCTCAGTACTTTTTGTCTCACAATCGGTAAGTGGGATAATAATTTTCCGATGCTGATGCTGATGCTGATGAGATATTCATGTACATCGTGACACGTGTAGTCTTAAGGTTTTTCTCACCATAATCAATGCAAGCTTATCCCCGCAAATTTATTCGATTTCATTCATGTACTCGGAATGTACTATTACTGTCCCCATAGAATATCAGCCTTGCTGACATCGTGTAAGACTACCTTGGACTATCTACCCACCTATCAACCGAACAATTACGCAAAGAAACTCAGATCGACAGTGTTCACAAGGTATTGCAAGAGGCGTATATTGGCTTTACACAGCCATCTTATCTCAGCAGCTTACCGTAGATTTATTGACATCAATATCATTCCGAATATTGTTCCGAATATAACGGAAGATGAATCACGAGCTGGTGGTGGAGTGAGTCAAGATGAAACATGAAATCGCGGGATATATTGCATGAATATCAGCTCAGGCACAAGGCATAAACTCTTCATATTCAAGATTTGGAGACTCCGATCTTATTTCCTGTGCGACGTGCGATGTTTATCTGAAGAATGTTTAGATGAAGGGCGCTTGGTAGTGAGATATTTTATGCCTTGACTGATATCTTATCTGGCAGCTGAATAGAAATTCTGAACCAGCGAGAGCTAAAGAAAGAGTCAGACGAACTGCATTGACAGACAAATTGGGGTGTGGATTGACAAGTTCGTTCCCGTCGGTAATAGTAGCGAAAGCCCGAAAGCCTCAGCGGGAGGACGAAGGCTTGCAGAAGAGCCAAGCTGGAACCAAGGGCGTGGATCTTAGGCTTGCAGATTTCACGATTAACACGATCGAGCGAATGATTAGTGGTGGTGAATGTTTCTATTTGGGGACTCGATGGCTGTTTGTTCCTGGAACTGAATCCCTTACATGTCGATATGTTATTTGAGATGACTCGATACATCGTCTTGCTGTACTTGCTACGTTGATTCAAAGTTATTTTCTGCTTCCTCTAGAATTTTTTGATTGAGAAATCCATGATTATCAGTACGTAGAGGAGTTCTGGTCATATGGTCCTTGTAAAATGTCGCTGCTTTCTGCAATTTCATTGTCCGTAGGCTCTCAATGCAACGTGCTGTTCTTGAACCTGTGTTTAATAAATAAAAGACAGTATTATGACATAGGAACGATTCACCCTTTCAAGGTGTTAGCACGGCTCTAGCCAAAAAATTACATTTGGTCAAAGATAGAAAGGATTCAGCAAAACAACTATTGATCAATGATGAAGTCGGCGATTGTCCTAGAATCAAGTTTTCAGCTTATGCTAACCATAAAGAACTGAATCGCCATCCACAAGAGGCCTTTGAACGTTAGAAACCCGATGGATCCATGCTCACAGTTGAAATTACCCGGACGAGTGATAAAAGCTGACTCTTGTTCTCTTAAGCCAATTTCTAAAAAAAAAAAAAAAAGGAAATACGTAATGTAGAACTAGAGCCGCGATGAAATGCGTGAATATCGAGCATTAATCTATCAAACTTTCTTGTATAGAGAACATTGGGGAGACTAGACATGCACTGCCAGCGGATAATTTGTTCGGGGGTTTCGCCACAATCTGGGGGTAAATGCTGTGCATGATGCATGCAGATTTTCTCAAGCATACACGGGTCAAATAGCCGAATGCTACATTGAAGACGGCGAACACGAGAATATTTCAATACTTGATTCAATTGCACAGATATATAAAAATAACTCCAGGTAGAAAGACGGAGAAAATGTAACATCGCCCAGCTCGTATTGTGGTGTGACTTAACACAATTCCATCTTTGAATAGGAAATAGGTCTCGATTCAAATCGCGTCGCACCCCAATTACTTCAGATTTAAAACCCCAGAAGAAAAGTTTAGAAGATGGCAGACAAAGGAATGTAGAATAAAAAATGTAAAAAATTCATTTAAGATGATCAAACAATTGAGCCACCCTTCAAAGTGCAGGTTGCGATGACTGAAGCCGGCGTCGTCGTCTTTGTGATAGTGATCCTAGAGAAAGTGGGATGTTAGCAAGATTAGATAAAAGTATGAGACTGCTCAAATGGATTGAATTTCACGCAATGAAACATACGCATACTTGTACGTGATTGTCGATGTAACTGTGGTAACGGTGAAAGTCTGGGTAGTCTTTGTTGTTGTAGGCGTTGGTGCCGTTACAGTTGCAGTAGTTAACCCGCTGCGAATAGTAACTGGTGCAGGGGTACTATGGTTTTGTTAGATATTAGATAACTTGGAAGGGGGATTTATTCCTACATAGTGGTGAATTCAGTTGTAGTAGCTAAATGAGTGAGGTGTATTAGTAAATACTAGCATCCATTAAACAAAATTCAGATGATAAAATCTCACCTGTGCTAAAGAAAGTTGTAGTAGCAGCAGTGCTGGTAACAGTGGATGTGATCCAATCAGATGTGGTTGTGTCGGTGACTGTCACAGTTGGAACATCTGGAGCACGCTTTTTAAGCTTCTTTGCCATGACGCGACCAACAGCGCGACGTCCAAGAACATTAGCAATGTCAACAATAGCATCTCGGCTTTCAGGATTGGCCCTCGGAGCCGGAGTAATGACTGCAGCTGCGGGTGCTGGCATGGCGGTACGTTTAACGGAAGAGTCGGATGTGACACTTTGAGCCAAGAGAAGGAAATGTTGATTGGGGTATACATCCTGCATGGGAGGCTTGGTGGGAAGTCTGCATGAGGCTGTTTTTGTAACTGTAACGATGGGGAAGGTGTATTTTCTTGAGGTGATAGTCCTTGTGGAGGTGGTAGTCTTCGTAGTTGTAACTCTCTTGGGTGTAATTGTAACTGTACTTTTGGCAGTGGCTGAAGCTGCGGTAATTGTAACAGCAGGAAGTGTAGTTGAATCGGTGTCAGTAATTGTAGTTGGTAGAGTTGTTGATGGTATCACAACATTCGTGATGTTCACTAACGAACGTCAAATTCCCAGAACTTTCGTTCAATCACTTTGAACAACTTACCGGTTGGGATATATGTTACTGTGGCCTGAGTTCCAACGGTGAGTTCAAATGTTCTCTGAGCGGCGAAAGAAGCTCCAGCTCCATTGTTTGCCAAAATAACAATGGTCCAGGTGCCGCTGTACATCTGATTTTTGGAGATGGGACTGACAAATATTAGTCAAAGTGTCAACCTGAAGTTCTTGAAAATGATAAATACCATGTTGAAAGCATGTTGGTACCGTCAGGTTGAGTTTCAATGTCACTGCACTCCCATGAATCATCATTAGGAGCAACGAGAATCACTTCAGCCTCGCCTGAGCATCCGGTAAATTGAGTGACGGCGGTGAAGCTGGAATTATCTGCGCTATTGATGAAGTAGTTTCCTCCATTCTGGAAATCGATACCATATGACGCACAGTCTGCCTTGACATAAGTAAAGATGGATGTTAATACAACGAACGTGTAAGAGAGTTGAACGATTGAAGAAAACATGATGAAAAGCCAAATGCTAATGAATGATGAATGTGATGAATGTGAGTTACAATTGGGTTCGTGGGGTCATATAGCAACTTTGATATCTGCGAATACTTTATGAGCTGGATCAACTGGATCTGAGCTGTTCCGCTGCTCGCCGAGCCCATCCAAAAAAAGAAACATACCGCAGCTACAGAATCGTAGACACGCGCAATACTACACAGGATTCTTCAAAACTACCCAGAATATTGACAGATTCCATCTGACAGAATGAATAATATCCATAAAACAACAGAAACGGAACGTCTCCAGCTTCTGCGTTACACCAGAGACCGAAATACAAGCCTTGCTGTGCCGCACAACAAACTCAACAAGTCGATTTCGAAGAATGATCCTTATTGGTTTCATTGCTTGAATACTTCTTGTCAGATGCAATGAAGTGGAGTGATAAATGTGGAGAGAGCCTGAAGAGTGCAGTGAGAGGAAGGATCAATACGAAGGATGATGGGTGTGCTGACAGTGACTTCAGCGATACTTCAAAGCTACTGTACAGTAGTGTGAGATGACTAGGTATCTCCAACTATCTCTGACTACCTCTGATCCGAATGCAGATAAAACGCCACAATCTTCATCTCTGCAGCTGTCCTATTCTCGGTAACGGTACTGGGGTAAGTATACCGTGTATCTTGGTCATTTTGATATAAACAAGGCTTTAAACGGCAGTCTCAACTCCGATACGACCGTGTCATAATTCAGCAGTCCTTGCGATCTTCAGCGTGCTACAAAACTAAGTGCCGCCCAGTGAAGATTGTGTCTGATACTAAGCCGCAAAGCTTTGTTTCTTTTCGAGTATCGCGGATGCAATGGCACAAACAAGATCGGGGAAAGAAAAATCCAAGGTTCGGGCAAACCCTGTTTAAAAAAGAAGCCCTGATGCAGGGTAAACACGTGCGACAGAAGCCTGAAGACTAAGCCAATAAATAAACGAGCCGCTGCTGTGGCTCACTAATTTTAAGCCAAGGATAGGCTGCAGATTATCAAAAACAGTTGCATAATATTGTTTTGTCAATTTTTATTACCAAATCAAGGATTTATTCGATTCTTTTGACTTTTTATGGTGATTCAGGTGATTCGATGTCGTTTCGTATATTTAGTTTCCGTCGGATGCTTCCGGAGGATGAATTGAATGTGATTTGGCGTCAAGAAGTTCGTGAATAACGGACGACTTGGGCCAAATTGAAACTCAGTTACAGGTGCCCAGACGCTAAATATACACTAATTTACCTGTTAGCTAGACCAATTATTCAATCTTTCCAAGGGGTTTCTGCAAGTCTGAGTAAGCAAAACTGGTGGTTTTACGGAATTTGCACTCGCAACATCTTCCATAAACCATCGATCTTATGTTCTACGGCACAAAAGAAATCTTAGGCCCATCAACCCGCCAAAGATCAACACGGCCAAAGCCAAGCGAGCTAGTCATCTATCCCATGAAGAAGGATCACACCTGAACATTTCAGCCTCGCATACATGAAGAGATTCGGCCTCGGCATAAGATCGTGACATTGATAATCTTCCTGTCGATATCTTCGGGAACGGAAAGCATACGTATGCCAATAATCGTGTGAGATGCAGCAGCTGCTATTGTTATCATCTTTTCCCGTAGAATCTCGGATGTGGAAGATTGAACGAATCTTGGCGTGCCACCAAAGCAACTACAGTATTGTCCGAGGGCTGACAGCATATGTACCATGCTGCCGTGCCTGGATTTTTCTACCAATATCACGAGCCATGCACTAAGTCTTATCATTCTAGTTCTTGAGGATTGGCATCATGTAAAGTGGTGTACATTTTTGAAGTGATCCTGATCCGGAATCTTGATTTCAATCAACAAATCAGATGATTGGGCATGAAATGTTTTCAGCTGAAGTCACAGTGATTTTTGGTCATTGGATGTTCCATCCCGAGATGCATGTAAGCCACGAATTTTTTGAGTTGCAGTGCCATCTGATAGCGCGTGTGGTAACACTGTAATGGCTGCTTCTCCTGCTTGTCAGTCGAGCCTCACCTCGTGTCAGAGACGGCACCGCGATCTCGTGTGCATCGACATGGGAATCCAGAAAAAGCATCTCAATGCTAGTCAAAACTGTCTGAGTGTTGATCTGACAAGATAAATACATCAAGTCTCACTTGAATGCGAAGATATTACTCTCTTCAGATCAATTCACTCAAGTGTCTTTCTCTAACTTGCTCAAAATGAAGTTGTTGAATATTCTACTTTTGTCTTCCGCTGCCATTGGAGCAATACTCCCAGCTCAACTCAATGAACGTGATGGCCTGGTGAAACGACAGACTGTCTCCAGCAGCAAGACAAGCACTTCATCAAAAGCCTCTGGCACTTCATCAAAAACATCATCTGGTACCTCCAAGTCCTCAAGTTCGTCAACCTTGAAGTCGTCATCTGTTGGCTCATCGTCTTCAAAGGCTTCAACAACTACTTCAGGCACGTCAACTACTGTCGGTACCACGACAACTTTAAGCTCAAGCTCCTCCTCTGCTCTCTCTAGTTTGGTCGCTGATCCTGCTTGTACAAACTCGCCATTCACCAGAGCCTGTTGGGGCAATGGCTTCAGTATTGCAACTGATTTTGATACCAAGAATCCCAACACTGGTGTCACCAGAAAATATAACTGGGAAGTGACCAACACGACTTGTGCTCCTGATGGAGTTACCCGCCAAAATTGTATGTTGGTCAATGGCCAATATCCTGGACCAACCCTATATGCTGACGTAAGATTTTTATTATTGCTCTCATGATATGTGCAAATTGCTAACATAGTTTTAGTGGGGTGATATGATTCAAGTTACCTTGAAGAATTCCATGCCAGATAACGGTACTGGTATTCATTGGCACGGGCTTCGACAATACCACACCTGTACTGAGGATGGTGTACCAGGAATCACAGAATGTCCCCTTGCTCCTGGTGATACCAAGACATATACTTTCCAGGCGACTCAGTTCGGCACGAGCTGGTATCACAGTCATTACTCCTCTCAATATGGCGAAGGAATGCTCGGTGGAATCGTAATTAATGGACCCGCAACTTCTAACTACGATGTTGATCTTGGAGTATACACCATCACAGATTGGTATTATACTCCAGTTTTTGCACTCGGTGAAAGAATAGCTCATTCTCAAGCCGGACCGCCATCGGGTGATAATGGACTTATTAACGGTAGTATGGTAGCTCCTGCTGGCCAAAGTGGTGGAAAATATACCACGAACACCATAACCGCAGGCAAAAAGTACCGTCTCCGTCTCATCAACACTTCAGTCGACAATCATTTCATGGTTTCATTAGATAACCATGCTTTTACCGTGATCACAAGTGATTTTGTGCCTATTGTCCCATACACCACAAACTGGATTTTCATCGGTATTGGCCAAAGATATGATGTTATCATCACTGCCAATCAAACTGTTGGAAGCTATTGGTTCCGAGCTGAAGTTCAGAATGGATGCGGCACCAACAACAATAATGGAAATATCAAGAGTATCTTCACCTATTCAGGAGCAGCAAGTACCACTCCATCATCTTCAGCTACTCCATATACTGGTAGATGTACTGATGAAACTGGAATCATTCCTTTCTGGGATAGCTTTGTGCCCAGTGGTCCACTTAGTGGAAACGTTGATCAACTCAACGTCGCCGTCAATATTGGTGTTGATGCCAGCGGACCAATTGTAACATGGGGAATCAACCTCAGTGCCATTGATGTTGACTGGAAGAAACCCATCCTGCAATACGTCCTCGATGGCAACAACTCCTGGCCTGCTTCAGAGAATTTAATTGAATTGCCCAATGCCGCTCAATGGTATTATTGGATCATTCAAGAAGTACCTGGAAACGTCAACGGAAACCCAGTTTCTATTAACGTCCCACATCCAATGCATTTACACGGTCATGATTTCTTCCTTTTGGGTACGGGAATTGGAACTTACAACAACACTCTCGATAGCCCAAATCTTGATTATGACAATCCAACTAGAAGAGATGTTGCCATGTTGCCTGCTGGAGGATGGATGGTTCTAGCATTCCAAACTGATAACCCTGGTGCTTGGTTGATGCATTGCCATATTGTAAGTACCTCCTTTCCATAGACTAATTCTCAGAATCCTCATACTAACGCACAAATCAGGCATGGCACGTAAGCGAAGGTCTCGCGGTACAGTTCCTGGAAACCAAAAACCAGATCAACGCCGTAAATCCGATCTCGCCAGCATTGACAAATACCTGCAATAAGTGGAATGCATGGTATCCATCCCAAGCTCCTTATGTCAAGACCGACTCTGGTCTTTAAAACTGGGTTGATGCGGGGGTTTTGGGCGCGATTTCGTTATTTTTGATTGCATGTTTGATTGTTTGAGGATGGCTGGACCCTTACCGGGGCTCGGTCTTCTTGTATTCGCTTGTAGTAGTATATAAGTAACAATTTAGGGAAAGGGTGTTGTATTTCATTTCTTCAGAAAGGCAACAAACCTTGTTTTGGGCAGGTGTTTTGTATTTTTATGGTAGATTTGCAATTCCGAATTGAGATTTCTCCGCATCCTTTTTTGTAATTTGGATATGATTTATTTATCATCGATAGATCATTTCTGTGACTAATCTGATTTGAGTAATAAAAGATGCAACATCATCGAATATTGCACCTTACTTACAAAATTTCACTAATAGCACAGAAGTATTTGTCCGATCATGTATTCGGCAAGCCTGTGTGTCATCAATCAAATTCAAAGAAAGATTCTTGAAGGTGATAAAGTATACATCCAGCGTGAACATGCATCATTGCGCCTAATCATGCTAGAGCCAATGAGAGATACCTAGGGATGCAACAAACCCTCTGTTAAACAATACGCGAGTAACGAAGGGGCATTGAACTATTGACCAGTAGATGAAATATAAATAAAACCAATAAAGCTTATCATCTGAAACTAACCAAGTTCAACTGCACGGACTTGAAACAAAACTCACCATGACGTCTCCCCATTTCCAACCCACTAGGCGCCGAGACTCAAAATCCCCGGGTATAGAAAAGCCCGAATGGAAATCTCTAAAGTCTAGAGCTATTTTCAAGAACATAAAGCAACACAATACTTGTGCAACAATGCCACATATCAGGAGACCACTAAAGCGCTTATCGCAGCGCTTCATGTGCATGGTCAATGCTATGTTGGGGCTAAAGACTAAAGTACACTGCTACGCGGTCGAGAAGCAAGCTGATGGGATTTTTAGCGCCGAGGCTCTGCACTCGCTGCGCCGATGAGATGTTGAGAGTTACTTTTGCAAACGAAATGAGCGATTGATAGATCGCATCAGATGTTATCGTAGATTGCCATATTATATAAATCTCGAAGTTTTTTTTGGGCATTTCGTTCACAAAAGCGCAGACATCTCAATGTTAATATGCATCCATCAAGAGTTACACTTATATACGAAACAGTAAGAGAATAGACTGACAGAATTGTGAAAGCAGGGAAAGGATTGGGTCCAGAACCAGTGCAACGTGTGTGTATACATCGGGCCAAACAATGCTCGGCGAATCCGTCACGGCATCTTGGAATGTACTGGCCGGTGTGAACCCAACTACAAACGTCCAGTCGAAACTTATAAATGTTTGCAACATTACCTGAAGAATACAATGACGAACATCAAATAATAATCAAATTTTCTCTTGTCATTAAATCGCGTTCTAATCCTGTACATAATTTCTTTTCTTCTTCTACGCAGCTATAGATTCAACGAAAATGTCACGAACACACAAGTCTAGTACCGCTCTAGCCGAGAAGAATTCTATAGAAGACTATGATTCAATTCTACTTCCTATTTACACTTATTTTGCAGAATACGAAGATCATCGGAAGCGACTTCGCATGAGACAGATTTATTGGATTCCAACCGGTCATGATGAATTGCAAGGCAATGGAGTAGTTTTTCTAAGCGAAACGTACAAAATATTGGCGGATGGAAAGACGTTTTCCAAACCAAAGGAAGGGTTAAGGTCAATGTTTCATATCAAACCAAGAAACCGAGATGGGCTTTTCGAATTAATAGATATGTTGTATAAGGGCAGATCTATCTTGAACAAAATGAGCGGAGGCCATCAGGTGAGTACTTTGCGTTTCCGTAAGACGATGAGAGAGTGACGTAACTAATATGGTTTAGGTCAGAAAAAATCATTTAGCCTTTCTTGACCTCTTGAAGAAAGACAAAGTCATCGAGGATAGTTATGAAACCTCAAAAGCATACTTTCAGAAAGATTTTGAAAAGGAATGTGAAAAGATGCGCGAGAAAACGAACAAGAATAAGACCGCACAGCCAAAAGATCTCAGTCCGAATCAAAATGAAGCGAAGAAAACAAATCCTATACCTCATGGTAAACTTTAGCAGAGATGTTATCGCGAGTGAGGAAACTAATATCTCTTTTAGGAGGACATCGTTTGATAAGATGAGCTGGGTAGGAAACGAAGTGCTGAAACACGAGGTTTCTATTGCAGACCGTCCAATTAGTTCCTTATGAAATACAGGAGCGAAGGAGAAAAAAATGGTATCCGTCCGATCCATTTGGAACCCTTTTGCTTTGGGGATTGACTGTTTAAGATAAGTGGCGTCTGAAAGATTTAATTATATTGAGATCCGAAGTCATGTATTTTGGAATGCTCTCTTTGGCGTTTATACTAAAGGTTATTTTGATAAAAAGCAAAGACTTATTAGGGAGCATCGGGAAAATAGGATCAGAGAGAGATATCCGAAAGCAATCAAGCATTTTTTCTTCAATCCTCAAGAGCTGTTTATTCATCGAAGGAATCTTGATATTCGATCTTATGATATGAGTATGTAAGTCTTATAACGTAGTTTAACACCGAGTGGGCCATATCACCGAGTGGGCCATCATTTTTACATACAAAATTCGTCTGTGCATAACCGTGCACTTTCTTTATTTATAGACAGAATTCTCTAAAAATTGAAACTAGAAAACTTAATCATATAAATAATATGAAAATCTAATTATTTATTGAAAATTCAAATTATCATAATAGTTATTATAGAAATGTTTCTTTTGTAACGAAAATCGTGACAATTTCTACTTATTTTTAGAAAATATAAGAAATTTTTATATCAAAAATAGATTTATAAAGAGCTAAATTCTCATTATTATTTTATATTAATTTTCTTTTAAAAAATAATGATTGATTATTAAAATACAAATATTAAAAAAGCGTTAATTTTGGTGTATTTTGAAGTGGCCCATTCGGTGATATGGCCCACTCGGTGTTAAACTACGTTATATCTTCTAAGGCTAGAGATTTTGAGTTAACTATCTGCACAAAACCCAGCCATTAGATTGAATTAATTAAATAGTAAAATTAACTGATTTCTGTTTTACACAACGTAAAAAATGATGTACAAAAAGTATTTTTGAAGACAAATCATCAAAGCAAATTGCAAAAATAAAGAAAAGTCTTTTCCACCCAGAATTTTTAGAAAGTAGGTATTAGAACTCGAATTGACGGTCAATCTCAAGCTCTAGTATCCTCAAGAAGAGTGTATAACGATGAAACATATGATGCCTATCGATAAGTACGGGAGCTAGAAGACAGAATAAAATTCTTTGATTAAGTACCATATGAATACAAAACTCCATGCAGTCAATATTTCTACACCACCAGTCCCATTCCGTTTCCAACAGAAGCAAAGCCCCCACAAACACGCCAAATATTGCCAGAGGTAACTCCAATCCACAGCCAACCACCCAGCCTACAGACCCCCCAAAACCTCCTCAACAACCGCCCCCAGCATTCTCAACCCATAAGACCTTGCCACCCTCCCCCACCCTTCAATTTTCATTTTCACCTCCCCTCTATCTACACTTTCCCCCCACTCTCCTCCACACCCACAACCCTGTCTCAAATCATTAACCTTCAATCCCTTACACCTAACACATTTCAAATCTTGGCCCACCCATTCTCCCACACATGCCATCACCTCCCCAATAATCCTCTCTTCAATGCCTAGATGTTCAAACTCTCCATTACAGAATAGACATTTCCAGCTCCAACTTCCTTCACTATTAGGAAGTAAATCTTCATCACGGCAAAAATCCATATCTCTTGACGTGGTACAAGAATCGCAGACCACGCTGAAGAGTTTAGCAGAAGTGGAAGGATTCTGAAATTTGGCCGCGTTAGAAAATTCGCGGATTTCAAACATTTCCAAGAGTTCTTTTCGTAGGAGACGAGCTTCGAGTGTGATGTTTTTGTCGAGAGAAAGAACTTGCATAAGACTCTTTACGAGCTCTAGTGCTGGATTTGTGGGTTTGAGATGTGAACCAGGCAGAACGGGAAATTTGTAATCTTCCGCGAGTTCGGGATGGAGCATTTCGTCTTTTTGTCTGCGAATGATACCTGCTATCTGTTTCTTGAGTGGTTTCTCGAAACTTTTTCCAAGAATGATTTTATCTTCTTTGTCATCTCCTAGATTTCGGACTGGAATTTGAGTGGCGCGAGGGGTAGAATCAATGCCAAGACGTGGTTTCTTGAGACTGTGCATTATATCAATGAACTCTAAAACCCAGTCATTGAAGATCTGTTGGAGCTTGTCGGGGAGGAAATTGCTCAGTTGCCAATGCATGATGTTATCCAGGGGTTGGTTTTCGGCTTCGACGACTTCCGAGCAGCCTTTACCGCCGTAGTTGAATTCATCGTACCAAACTAGATAATCCCAATACTCTTTGATTTCAAGGTCTAAGAAATGGAAGAGTGGCTTTGCCTTGATCGATTTGAGGATATATTGACTGTATGCATATGCATTTCCGACTTCGGCTTTGGTGGTCTGTAGTAGAAGTCGATTTGAATTCGCGAATACGACATGAGATCCGACACGCCTGAAATCGGTCATCAGTTGTTGGAAAGCCTTTCGAGACATCATTTGTACGTAGTAATGCAGTGAACGATCGTAGAGAAACGAGTCCGGATTCTCAACCCAGCGAACAAGATGCTGCACCATGATATCAGCCATGCTACTACCTCTACAAGCTTCAGTCCACCAAGCTTTAACCATTTCTCTAAGAACCGTAACACCGGCAGTAGCAAAAGCATTCTCGGCATAGAGAACATTAGTGCCATCGCTAGGAGCATCGTCTGATGGCGCGGCAGGATTGAAAGATATCGAGTCGCTTCCTTCAAGCTCATTAATCAGAGATGATGTCAAGATGGTATTGATGGCCAAATTTCTGACATCAAGCTCAATGCAAACTGATGGATAAGTACCAGGGTTATTAACTGACGGCATTTGCACAGTATCAAGACCACCAAGAACATCATCGAGTTCGTATCCGGCATGGTCCGGCTTTGGGCCACCAGACCACCATAGAACAACATTACTCCTTTGTAGTCTTCTCGCATAAGCCACGTCAATCAAGAAACGAGGATCGTCTCTTTCCAGGTTGCAGAGTGGAACATCTCCATATCTCGCGAGCTCAGTCAGATGAATGACCCACTCTCCGAGATTTAAGTAATGACTGACCAAGCGCTTTGCTATGATAGATTGCCAGTTTAGTGGAGGGAGTTTACTATCTTGAACGTCGGATTTCAGGGGAAGTATTGGCAAGTCTCCTAAGATAGGCACATCATGTACCAGTAATCTTCTCTGCGGAGATTGGACAACGAGCATGAGTGGCTTGGACTCATCATTTTTCATTTTCTTGACAAGGTCACCAACTTCAAGCAATGCTTTTCTTCTTGTAGTGACTTGACTAATCTTGAACTGAATCTTTTCTTGATATTTGAAGCAATTTTGCCAAACTTCTCCCTTTGCATCTTGATGACGTTTGGCAATGGCATCTGCGTAAGTTTTCGCGATGTTAGGGAGATCTTGTTCGGCAACCTTGGTCTTCTGGAGAATGACAACATGTGCCTGATCTTTTGAAGTCGAAAAGAGTGCAAAGACTTGTCTATCACCAGCAATGACATGGTAAAGGAAGAGGTATTCCATCGACGAATTTGAAAGATATGGATTTTTCGGCGACGCGCGACGGAGTCCAGATAAATCGAATCCTTGCTCAAGACCTCTTCCTAAGACACCAGGCTGCGTCTCATCAAATGTACACAAACTTCCCAATTGAAGAACAGCACGAACGTTTAGTGGAACTTGCTTCTCATAAACACCTTCCACACTCGGATGATTGAAAAGTAAAGATATCTTTTGCGCTTCATTTACATAGACATCTTCGGACATTGTGAGTTTGAACAAATGTACTGATGGATGTCCGTTCGGTAGTGTATGTGTGACCTTCTCAGCTTCGCAGCCATCAATTTCAATATCTGGTAGTTCCTTGCCTTTCAAATTAAGAAACACTGTTCTCGGAACCTTGACTTTCAATGTATGTACCTTCGAGTCAATAAGAACGAACGCAAGAACAATACCTGGACTTTCAGTACCTCTCAATTGTAACACCTGCCACGTACTCTTGAATAGCTGTTCGGCTTGATTTTGGAAAGTAGTCGCAATATTGCTTTGGGCGCCACGATTCTCACCGAAAAGATGTCGACGTCGTATTCTTGCCTGTTTCTGAATCTTCCATTTTTGTTTTTGATACTCCAAGAATCCTTCGTAGTCTTCGCTTGGTGATGGCATCTTATCCGGGAGTGCTGCAAATGGGTTTATGGAGACTGCCACCGCAGGCTCTGGAGACTTCCTTTTCATAGGCTTCTGCGACGCTGCATTTAGCTGAGAGCCCAGAGTCTTAGGTTTCAGAAGCTGCGTTCCGAAGTCTTCCATATCGGCCATTCTTGGATCCTGCAGATTTGATATGTCTTCAAGGGGAGTTTTGGTAAACATATCGGTCATCTTCTTTTGCTTCATTTTGTCGTCTTTGATTCGAATTCTTCTCTGTAGCCAATCTGGATGTGCTACTCTGGGCACTGGATTTGAACATTTTTGAAGAGCTGCAGGAATGGTAATGAGTTTCTGAATGACAGACCCAAGACGTTCAGAGTAATAATCCCAATCTAAGAGTGCTCTTGGATCCATGTCTGTGGGATCCTCTTTCAACCATTTACGCAGAAAGTGTCGCTTCACTGAGATATCCGATGAGAAGATAGCAACCGGAACAGCTCGTTCAGTCACCGGTGCATGCTTTGGTTTGGCGCAAATAATATACTTGCAATTCAAACCTTTATCTTTCACCATTTGTTCACCCAGGAACTCTGCTAAGCGCTTTGCAGTAGTGATCGAAGTTGATTTTTGCGTGCCATATTCCTCCAAACTCTTTGACATACTTCTATTCTCGCAAATGAGGTCGATAAGTTCTGCGTCGGCAAGAGTTCTTCCTTTCGAATCTAAAACATCAAGCCATTGATTCGCGACTTTTGCCACTGCTTGATAAGTCTCCTCGAGAGTTGTACCTTCCAGAAAGAATTTAAAGATTTGTTGTTGGAAAATCTTAATGAGCTTCAGTTCTCCTCTTCGCTTCACCTCGAATCCCTTGAGTTCCGCTAAACTCCCGTCATCATTAAACACAGCGTAACGTTTCTTTAGATTTTTGTCCTCTTCCTTGGAAGTAGGCAGAATCATAGCACGATAAGGACCATCGACTTCGAAGAAGATAGAATTATCGCTATGCGTCTCGTACTTGAAGGTTTTCGGATCAGTGAGAGTTTGGTATTGGTGGTTTGTGAATTTGTCATGGACAAGATGATTCAACATCACACAAGGGTACGAGATAGCCAGCTTCTTTCCGTTCTTTATTTTGAAAGCATAGTTCTCCGGAAATGTCGCCGGAAGCATACACCAAATACCATCAGTATCCAGTTCTAGAGGCCGTCCAATTCGTTCGACTAGTTGTCGAGCCATTTGAATGATGTGAGCTCCAGTCAAACAAGTGACACCAGCCATCTCCATGGAATACCACCGTGAACCTTTTCTCATGACATAACCATAAAAGGAGTTTAAAATAACCTTGTGAGCCAATTGTAAGGAGTCGAACAACACAATCATCTTCTTCGCATCTTCGACTTCAGCAGCTGGAGCACCTGCTGATTTAAGAGCATCAGTCTTGCCTTTCCAGACTTTCTGCTTACCCTTGTAATCATATCGACGATCTCTGAAATCCTTTACAGTATCAATATAAAATGGATTCTCTCGCTGACAAATGATTGCTTCTCGCTCGATAGTGGTCTGGTCATGGATCTTGTGGTAAATTTTCTGACTATATGTTTGCAAGCGCTTCCGAATCAGCGCAGCCTGCTCTTCGTAAGAAAGGTCCTGAAATGATCTCATTGGTTGCTTCGGATATTTTCCTGGAAATCGTTCATTTTCAAGCGAATGCCTGATCATATTATATTCGTCCCTCTTCGCTGGAAGGTACTCGCCTCTCCATGCCCAGGGCATTCTCCTATCGCAAGTTTTACCAGGTCGATTAAAATCGCACGCCGCACAATCTGATTCTTGAATCATAGAGTCGGGTTGAAGACGATTTGTCGTCATAATATTTGGGTACATAGAAGCGACATCCAAATGGTAAATCAGGGGTTTTTTCGCTTCGATTCGCGGTTTTCTTGAGAACTATTCAGGCGATCTGCAATTTGTTGTTTGACTTCCTCGTAATTTTCAATATCATCTAGTGATTTCTTTTCTTCAACCGTGATACTGAATTTCAAACGCAGAATCCAAGTCCTCGAGAAGTTCATCGATAGCAGTTGTATCGACAGCAAAATTAACGGGTATATCGGCTCGAAAAACTCCTGCTTCAATACTCTCCACATGTCCACCAACGTAGGTTTCCGACTCCAATAAATGGCCTTCCCAAAACGACTCTTTTGGCGTTACATGTTTATTTGGAAGTACGATCTCTTTTTGGTAAGCCTGTACCATGAGTAACATCTCGCAAAGGGTTCCTGTCCCTTTTCGTAAGACCGCATCTGGTCCTAGAGGAATAATAGTACATAGAGAGAAAATGAAAGGATGTACGTATTTCATGTACAAATAGTATGTTGCTACAGCATCAGAGACGGAATACTCTGCAAGAGTTTGGGGGTTTCTCGCTGGCATATCTCAACATCAATTCTGGGTCGATCTCGTCTGGATCATAACCTAGCTTTGCTGTTGTCACAGCTTTTAAACCTCTACTTCCTTGGGGCAGGTAACTGTCACGATTAACCCAGTGGAAACAGTCCATGTGAGCACTGTAATCACAAATGTACTGATCCTCGCTTTGACTCCTGCGCCATCCAATCTCTCGGTACATATCAATACCATTAACACTAGCTCGTGCGTCAACAAACGGCCAATCGAAAAAGTCTCCGTTATATGTCGCTATAACTGTAGGTCGTGCTTCTTTGATGTGTAGGAAAAAACGCTCGATAACAGCCTTCTCGTCCGGTTCATTAAAAATCATAAATGGTCCATCGTATTCAGGTTTCGGCGTATATTCGAAGTCCTCAATATCCTCGGAAACAATCTCTCGATTCGTGATCAAAAATCCTTGCCCATCTATCATGTACGATATCATCATGATTTGATCGATTGTAGCATCTGGGAATTTCAAGGGTAGTTTGGTCGTTTCGATATCGTATGCCATAACTACTGGATCGGCTCTGGCCAAACGATCTTCCAGGCATTTCAACGTCGTTGTACCGTGTTTTGCCTCTACCGAGTACCATTTTCCCGTTCGTATATCTACAATTTGTCAGTTAATTTGTCCGCACTTTGATTGCATTCCCCCCATTACCTTGATCTATCATTACTCGTACATGGTATGGTACATCCCATTCCCTTATATCTACAATAAAATCGCTACCCTCCGCAATAGAAACATTAAGTCGTTTATCATCATCTCGTGAGTCGTCAAACAGATCGAATCCAGCATTTGCACTAATTAATTAGTCTTCTGCCATAAAGTCTTCAATGACCAAAAAACTCACCTAGCAACCTCCGCATACGTATCCATTGCATTCATATTCTTTTTGTTCTTCTCTGCCACCGGCATAATGTCTTTCCTAGCCGCCAGCAGATCCGACACATTCCTAAACCTACATTCAAAGAAACTCCTCCTGTAACCCAGCAGATGATTCGGCATTGACAAATCCTCTTTTTCCACTCGTTTTATACTCTTCAAAACACCTCCTCCAGGCGCTCTCTTAAGCCATTCCTCAGCTTCTGGTTCGTATCCTCTTTTGACCGCGACCAGGAAATAGGGTTCATATTCTACTGTCGCTTTGAAAGTTCCTCCATCGTCCTCGATAAAGTAACAGTCTACACCGGCTCGACCTTCTAAATGTTTTTCATCCTCGATAGTCGTAGCCTTTATATTGACCAACCATCCAATCTTCTTCTTGCCAGACTCATGCCGCGGAAATCCCATGGCTTCATCTATCGAATGGCCTAGTTTGACAGCTTCCACCTTTTCCTCCAATGATGTACCTTCATTTCTCCCAGACGATTTTTCAAAAGTTTTGGCTTTTCGGGGTCCATGATATGCTTGCTTCCCTCCACGACGGAAGCCATGTTGTGGTTTTCGTGGTGGCATTGTGAGCGAATGTGTGGTGCCAAAATGGCGGGGCGAAAGGGGTGAAGTCGTTTACTCCTGGAAGGAATTGAACAATTCTATTGAAAGAATTATGGCGTTCAAGAAATATTGTTCTGATGAATCAAACTATCATGAATATTAAACGTAAATTGGTATATGCGATATGGAATTGGAGTGTTTTACAAATCGTGAGATTATGATTGAAGATGGTAACTTTTGGCTGCGGAACACAAATTGGGGAACGCGTCGACTCGCGAAAAATATCCATAGCGCGTGGGAATCGTGTAAAGTATAATTCAGCCTTATCAGCAGGGCTAAGTGAGGAGCACTGCAGCCTTCTACGGTGGCCCACATATTTACGTCCCGTCGGTATCAATTCACAAAGCTCCCCTCAATTGTACGACAAAAAAGTAATTCAAAGACAACTTTGTACAGCAATGGCAGACGATACTAGAAATTCCCAATTCTACTTTACGGGGTCCACCTCCAGGAGCTACCTCACCGCCCGATCACGTCAAAACTCCCAATAAAGTATACGAAGTATTCCACACGCCACCTGAAAATGCAAATGCCTTGCCAGACGGCTCAGGGCAGAATACTGCAGGTGCACACAAGGAGACACCTACTCTAGGAGCAGCAGTCAAGACTGTACGATGGCAAGATTTCTCACAAGTTCATATGTATCCATGTGCTAGGGAAAGTTTTCTTACTGGAATTGGTGGGGGGTTCGCTATGGGTGGAATCAGGGCTATATTTGGAGGTATGTTATTGCAATTGTGTGTCTTGGGCTTGAACGGCCAAATGCTGACGCCTTACCCAAGCGCCGATTCCTAAAGCCGCGAACTGGGCAGTTGGGACATTTGTGTTCTCTGCTTTTGGAGCCTATGAATTTTGTTTGTACAGACGGCGATTAGAACGAGCACATATGAAGCGTGCTGTAGAGATTATTGATAGGAAGAAAGCAGAAAAGGAGGCACAGGCAGAAGAAAGGAGGAAAGAAAGGAGGAGGCTGAAGGAAGAAGCGGACCAAAAGGCTGAAGAAGCAGCTAAGAAACCAAATTGGAAGTTTTGGTAATGAGTAAAATCCCGAAAACAATGTATTAGCAGCCCCATACTGCGCTATAATGACCATCTATCCCGCTTGCATAATTTCGTATACTCAGAATTTGAGATCCTTTCCTTTTCATAAATACCCCCGAACGCCTGTCAGTACCTATACCGATTATAATTCCTAAGCCATGTCTCGAGACCACGCTCATAACCAAACGCTGTAACCATAATTTCCGTCAAACTCCTGGAATAATCCAATACTAAAAGCTCAAGACGTTGGAATGATTCCCGGGTTCTCAGAATCAATAAACCTTACTCTCCTTGCTACCTTCTCAGCTTCCTTTCTGGCGGATTCGTCTGTTCCTCGTCTTCTTTCACTCCTTCGAGCTCGAGCTTCCCTTGCTTCCCGGCTCCTGTAATCTGCCATCTGTTGCTTCCTTCTTTCCGTTCTAGCATAAGCAAGAGCAGGCGTTGGCCGGAATCCAATTCCGTTGATTCCCTCTCCGTCATCATCTGGATCGTCTGGTTTGTGTCCAGTGATTTCATTATTATGCCATGTCAAAGCAGCTCGGTCCGGATCCACAACCTCTCTTTCTTCTTCCATGACATCTTCAGATTTAGACAATGGCGGTGTACCCATCCTCTTCTTTCCCCGAGACGTGGAATCAGCCAATCGATTGATTGATGGATATGCCCTTGTCAAACCATCCTTTTCTTTTGCATCACTTAATCCGGCTCGAAATATTATGGGATCAACCTCGTTATGAAGCCGAATATTATTTCCCATCTCCCGAATTATTGGATCGACTTTCCTTCTTTCCCCGATGACAGCTCTGAAGGCTTTTGGTTGTGGTGTCTCGGGAATTTCAGTTACTGTACTCCCAGTCATATCCACATCTCTGGAAGCAAACATTTTAACCCTTTTGCGCATATCAGATTCAGCATTTGTTGCTTCTTGTCCCTTCTTCATGAGATTCAGTTTCTTTATATCGGTGGGTCCATCAAGGGCAAGACCCTGAAAGTGGTATGCGACTTTTGTTCGTGGACTACCTTGGCCAGCTTCTTCTAGAGATAATGTAGGTAAAGTAATCGAAGTTTGGAGACACATAGGTGAGGAATCCGGCGGAGTTGGTGCCTGGGGATCATTTCGTTTTCGCTTTGGAGAATCCATGAAAGATATCATGATTGCATTATTTGATATAATTGTATGTTAATCTCTTGAAGCTCGAAGCAATGGGCCGTGGTTGTTATTTAAAGCAGTTGATGTTGGTTATAAAGAAGGGGAATGGAATTGAAAGTGGTTGAAGGCCCAGGTGTATATCAGTGGAGTCCACGGGTGTGAATCAAAGCAATGGATGGATGTCACTATTGGTGCGGGGTTCAGCCACAGTGAGACGGCGCTAATATAATCCTCGAACCCTTTTACACCTTTTTTGTTCACTCGAGACCCCGGTCTGATACTATAAAGGAATTGATATACACATCGGATTCAAGATATATTATCCGCTAGCATTTCGTTTTCAGCGAATCTATTATAGTTTGATATACCGAGCTTGAATGTTCGGAGGTTCTTTGAAAGCTCAAAGGTCCATTCAAGAAACCATCAACAAAATGCTATATCGAATTGTTAGAGTTTGTAGAACAGACAGAACTCAAGAGCTACATTTTACAGTCATCGTCAGGCCTTGATGGATGCTGTTTGATCCTCCAGTCGTACAGAATAAAGAAGGATTAAGTGAATACTATGATTCACTATGGTCTAACACGTTGCTATCGCTTTTCTCTAATTCTTCCAAACTCCTCCTGTCCCCTTTTCTCGACCCAGACCAAAAGTTCCCTCAAATCTTTTTTTACTTCCTCATTCTCTCTATGTAGCCTCTCGTTACAAGTAATTAGTTCTTCTGTAGCCTTGGCCTACTCCTTTCTTCTGTCAAATCCGGAAGTTATATTGCCTTCATTCTCAATGTTCCCAGCTCTCGCTCCTTGACGCATTTCGTTGCCTGTGCTCGCGATATATCTTCCTTCCTCATTCCACCAAGTCCTCCAATTGTCGTTCTCATTTTTTAGGCGTGCGATTTCATTGCGATCCTCGAAGAAGATTTTGCCGGTAAACCAGATCGTTCCCATGAGAGAAGAGAATGCGATGAAGCAATTCTGGTAAAACTGTACTTTGGTGGCTTGACTTGGTGGTCTCTGAGATTGCGTCTGTGTTGGGCCTGATCTGGGAAGCTTGAATCTTCTTTTGAAGTTCTTGTTCTTAAACCGCATCGTGGTAGTGTGTATCGTGTGCGTTGATTTCTCGTTGTGTTTTTGTCTTGCAACGTGAATTGAGTTGCAATGATTTAAATTTTTGTTCTTGATAGGATGATTAAAACAGCGATTATTCTTCTCATTCCCAAGTGAAAAATTGCTTCATTGGTAGTGTATTCTTATTCTAGCTGGGAAGCACATTGATTTCTCCGAGTACACACGATCGTGCGGCGTGGAATTTACAGAACCTATAGTCGCACCTACCATATTGATCTCTAATATCGTGGTTAAAGAACAACTTGCTATCTTATCACGAGAGTCAAGACCGGTCGCCGTCACAAGAGGAATAGACACGTCTGACACTCATGGATTATACTTTCGATCACAATCCATGATATGGTTTGAAAATCCTTTTTGAGGATGTATTCATGGATTTATCTATACCCTGCCGATCTCGCACTTTAATTCCTTCATTCACCTTGCTTATAGGCCACATGTGCTCTGATCTCAAAAATATACATATAGAAGAATCCAGTGTAATAATGTAGTATGACAAAATGACCAAATGTTGCAATAGAGCATATATCCCATTTGCAATGATACGCTACGCTACGACTAGATAACCATGGTGCAGGCGCCGGAGCATAGTGCCAATTCATCCATAATTTGAAGTCTAATCGCATTCAATCTTCTTTTGCGCATATGAATCGCCAATGTATTAGTCGCTTGCATCTAAAATGTTAGCGTTCAATTCAAGAGTACTTCACTGTTGTCGCTTAAGTCTTATATCGCCATCCGGGACAATACTATCGAAGAAAATTTGCCTCGTGCACTTGACATAACAGTGACAATTATCATTCAAAATCGGTCAATTCTGAGTACCTATGAGCAATATGGTCTGGTGGGAATCGCACAGCACCTGTAAGACATCTCGCTGATGTCGCTTTGGCTATACGGTTTCTTTCAGGCTTCAAACAACACTTATGACACAGAGGTCCGCGATTTTTGTCGGCGGCCAATCTATCTTTGCTTGGCCGAGGGAGTGTCTTGGCTATTCACCGCTTTTTACGAGCTTTTGTGTATAAATCTGAGTACCTTGATAGTTGTTGGGATTTTTCTGTCCGTTTATTCAATTCTTTGGAGCATCAGTCAATACTGGTCCTTAAAGTATAAAGAGATCTTCTATTCCTGACACCCTGCTTCTCAAGCCTCTTAGCACACCTTTCTCGTGTAAAAGGGAAGTAGTGTAATTTGAGACAACCTGCATATGGAACGAAAAGCACAATGAGGCTATGGTTGATGGACACGTTTCCTGATTGTTCTCGAGCCTATGATCGCGTATCTCATCAAGACAGGAAGTCAAGATTCATTAGAAACTTTCAAATACAGTGGTTGTTGTTACTTACTCAAACCACTCACTGTCAAGAGTTTGACTCAAGGAGTGTTACCACTCCTCAAATTCAATAGAGAGGTTTTAATAACGCAAGATGTGTGGAAGAAGCTTGCGATACCTAGCTATAGTTACATCTGGTCGGCTTCCTCAATTCACAAGGGGCGACAGAGCTATGTAACTCGTTTTGCAAATCTCTTTCTCTTTGCTTGGTATTCAATACTTGAGATCTTATCTTTCTATTTATACTATATTCTCAATCATAAACAGAAAGAAATTAAGGTAATAAGTTGTGGGGTTGGCGGATTATGGTGAATAGACTGATGATTCTGGGTATCCCATGTCCCCACTTTCTACGAGGTTATAGCCCCGCTAAAGGTTTGAAAGATTATGTTTGCGAGTGCTATAAAAGTACAGAGTAAATAGGTTGAATAGCGGTCATGGAGCCACGTCAAATCGATCCCAGATGCCAATGTGCTTTGTTTCGGTACTGGGATCTTCTTTCATCCCAGCTTGATCCAATCCTCAATCTTTCGTCTATTTTACGCCTGTTTCACCACTCAGGGTTGATTTACCCGGGTACCAGAAGTATCGTTCTGCACAGCATTGCTGTTTTGTGATTTCACTGTCGTTTCTTGACTTTTCTGTCGTATTTTAACATTCAATCTCCACCATTCTTTTCTGGATAACAGTTAGGTAACTACAAGCTGTGAGCGCGAGGCTCTGCTATTGCAGATACCGAAAGACATAAATCTGCACTTGACATAATTTTTTCTCAGAGAAGCTTGCACAATACTGTACTGCAGAGCAACATGCAGTAGATATGTTTATTTATAGCCAGAGTCCGAGACCTGAGGGATAAAAAGTTTGATTCAAGTGAGTGAATGTACCTAGCTTGAACCATACTTGAGGACTTATGTTCATATCATTCGGATACAATATGCCTAAAACAAGCCTCTGAAGTCTCAAGGCTCAATGCAAAATTCTTTGTTTTAAGTATAAATTGTCACAAAGTGTCAGCATTATTGCATCAACCCAAAAACTTAACAGCCTAAAAAAGAAGCTGACATGCATGCTTGCGAGTAGCGGATCTTGCATGTAAACAGATGCAAGACTTCAAAGTCCGGTGCGCGCGTTGGGATCCCGGAACATAGATTGTGCAACTTTGACAGCAACATATTGATATTGCTTTCTACCTTCGTCTGAATCTTCGCTGCCATTTCCTTGGAAGTCGGTTCGAATGTTATGAAGGTTTTCGGTAAAACCGTACACTGAGAGATATTTTCATTTTCGTGCCTCGAAAGGAACAAATGGTTGCAAACACACTGACTCAACAGACCCTTCGCTCTATTCTTCGATTTTACTTTGGAATATAGAATGAGTTGTAAGATTGTAGTCTTTATACCTTTTGTATTGCGTCCAATTTAAGAATTTTTGCGGGGCTCTTTGAACCACGCGAGAAGATCTGTGAGTGAATGATCATCAACTTCCTTCGGGTTTCAAGTGCGATCTTAAATGGATATAGTCAAAATTTCAATCCTCCATTATTTCCGTTAGGTATGAAGTCCGGATGTCTATTGCGTGAAGTTTTTCGTGGTCGAGTAGAAGGATTCCCATCTATGTCGTTTGAAAGAGCTCTAGAGGTATGGATTCAGATGTTTCAATTGTCACAAAGCCGAATGGTGTATACATGTGTTTGCTTTTCATTGATGCTGTTAAATTTGCCTTAGATTAGGTGATGCAATCTTCAGACTTCATTCTGCTGCGGCGATAAAGAAAAAAGTTAGGTTTTTCCCCCCAAGTGTTAATCTTCATGTTCTTGTCCGACATAATTATATACTTAGTAACATCAGAACTTTTCCTGCACATCAAATAATATGGAGTGACAACCTTTCAAGCTGTATAACAATATTTGGTACTCAATTAGTGATTTCACCAATCATGAGAATGAATACTAAAATGAATATAATCTTGAAAGTGATAGCAACGACTCACTTAAATCAGACCCTTGCGCTAGTATCTACATCTACAAATAAAATTTCATGAATTAACTTAAACCTCATGCCTCTAGTAAGTAATGATGTTATGACGCTAACTCCCAAATCCAAACTGATACTGAATTGGGAGCTCTAACCGAAAGCTCAGAACATAGTTCTTGCGAGCGCAATGCTATTGGTTCAATTAGTACGATTACGTCAAATTCAAGATTCACCAGATTTGCAACAAAACCAGACTAAAGATCTAGATTAGGCTGTCTATGATACTCAAAAAGCGTTGCCGAGACTAGCGAGCTACATTTCTTCAGTTATGTCCTTAAAAGACGCTAGTGAATAGCACCAACCACAAGATCGGATGATCCTTTCTTTCGGAGTGAACTAGAGACCACCGCTCTTTGCGATCAGAATCTGATTGGTTCTATCAACATGACTACGTCAAATTCGAGATCCGTCAGATATGCAACAAATTTGTGTCGGGAGATCTGGGCTCGAATTTATTCACCCACTTCTAGTTCTAATACAACTAGTGTCCATGGCATACTAGTGAACCTCCAACAAGATGCGTAGTTAATCTTAGCTTTCGCGCCAGCACCGAATTTCCGTCTCTCAAAAAAGAATAATGTTCAAATTTCCTTTGCAATCGTAACATTATTGGCTCTCTCAACTTGATCACGTCAAATTCGAAATGGAGTAGATATGCAACGAATCATCAATTAAGATCAAAATTTCTACGATTAGCAACGCCACGACTAGTGCTATAATTTTTTTCTACCTTTGGGATTATATGATTGAGAGACGATTCCACTCTGAATACAAAGTTCCATATTTCACGAAATCATACGAATCTAGCGTGTTATTCTTCTAGCAAGCCACTCAAGATTTTGGTAGCGTTAGGCTAGATAGTGCATCCAGTACCGAAAAATGGCGGGTGCCATTTTTCTGATGTCTTTACTTGCAAGAAAATGGGGTTCCCGTTTTTGAATATGTTTTACTGAACTTGAATAATTATCATTGTTATAACTGATTATCACTGTTGTCCTTATCTTTAGATTACTGTCTTACTATATACGCCGAGTTTAGAGCTCATTTCCCACGAAATGTAGTCTTAGGTTAAGTACAAACCAGAACTTCTTGTATCAACTATGGACAATGGCAAACAGAGTTTAACTTCTTTTGATTGGTTTTAGATTATTGTTATGGTTCTCTAATGGAGACAGACGTCTTTATATATCTTTCTAGAGATTTGAAAATGAAGGCAGCGGCTTTGGTGACTCAGTAAAGAACTATTCACTACCGAACCATGAACAATTTAATCAGTTGTAACTTGGGTACTTGGGCCACTCTCATCATGCGAGTGAGCTAGCTTGGGAAAACTTTATTTCCACATATAAAGTCTACCACATTTACATTTGTTTATTAAACAGATTTTTGAAATCAATCTGCTACGACACAAACTTAGGTGGCATTGCAAGTTCCGTTCAAGACATCTAGATGTGCTAGAAACTTCAAGCTTTGATTTTGAATAATTCTTGGTGTCTTCTATTCCAAGGAGAAAAGGAATTCTTGACACTATAATTTGTCATATTTGGTGCATAAACTCATACTATCACTTGTATTCCAATACTACTACC